ATCAGAATACCACCCTAAATAAAAAAAAAAAAAAAAAAAATCTTTTAAATGAAATAGATGAAGATGAACTAGAAAAATATAAACAAAAATATAAAAAATACTATAGTAAAGATACAGAAAAACAATTCTCCTCAACGATCACTTGGACCAACTAGTACCAAAAGCAAGTTGAAGACTCAAAGCCAGAAGTTAACAACAACTTGAGGTTTTCTTAATACAAACTGTTGTCAATGAAATCTTTAAATGTGATATATCAAGAAGTAGGCATTTTGGATAGTTTGCAAAAAGTCAAGTCTTGTTCTTTTGCTTCTTTGGGTGGACTCTCCTTTGTATTCAATATCTAAACCGAAGGAGTCTCTGAAAACAGCAAGTAGAAAAGAAAAACTCAGGAAGTCTGGAGATAGAAAGAAATGATAACTCTTGGATAAATTCTTTTTAGTTAAAAACTTGCAAAACCAAAGCTTTTTTTGTTGCTTTAATGTTCCCAAAACCAATTTTCGACAAAAAGTGAGAGATTTGGCTACTCTTTATTAAAAGATCAGCATTGTTTACCACTTTTATATTTGGCAACTCTGTGATATGAACACAACAAACACGTGACTACATAGGAAGTAATTTACTTCTTATTTAGAAACATGGCTCTGAACATCAAAGATTCAAAAGGTTTTAAGAACTTACACACCAAGTAGATGAGGTGATACAGAAAGAACATGTGAAGTTAATTCATTTATTATACTTTGGAATAGAATATAGATATAAAGTTGGGATAATAAAGAGAATTTGAGATATACAGCTTAACGATAAAGTTATGTGTATATAATTTTTAGCTCTTAGTACAGATTAAAGTGTACTTAGTTTAGTTTTTTTTATGTCAGCTAAGTTCTATGTAATTACTATAATCAAGTAGATAAGTATTCAGGTTAGCAGGTACTAATTTGTTAGATAGATTCTTTAGTTTTATAATTAGTACTTTAGATTTTTTTTATTAGTTTTAGTTGCTTTCTTATCTGTTTTGTTTTAAAATATCCTCTTTCTCATAATTTTTCTTACTCTATTTGCTCTTCGTAATTTTTTTGTTAGGAAATTTTTCTTGAAATTGGTAATATATTATATAGAGCAATAATTCTGACAAAGTTGATAGGTACCTACTATAGACTCCTGAGATATAAATTCTCAGTAAGTTAGAAATCTCAGACAAAATAAAGAGAAATCACTTAGGTGGGTCACATCTGGATCTTTCTTGTATAATCTATTTTTAGATTCTTGTTTAATAGATCGAGTGATTCTTTATTAGAACAGGTATATGTAGATTTATGAGTAGTTTAACCTCTACAAAGTAATTCTATGCTAATTTAAATAATAAAGAAAAAATTACTAAAACAAAAAAAAACAAAAAAAACAAAAATATAGAAGAAGAATTGGATAGAAAGTACTATAATCTTATTGTGAAAAGCAAAATTGATGCTATCTTGTTAGATATTATAAGACAAGAAATTTATAAGCTAGAAGTAGTGATACTCTATTTACTTGCAATAAAAAAATAATATATTAAGACTAATAAATATTGTACAAAAAATTTAAATAAATAAAGAAGAAATATATAAACCAAAAAAAACAAAAGAATATTACAAAAGCTGGCCAAAAAATTTAAGATCAAAATTAAAAAAATACAGAAAAAACAAAAAAAAAAAAAAAAAGCTAAAAATAGCTAATAAAAACAAAAACAAAGAAAAAATATAGAAGGTATCAAAATGAGATGGCTTTAGAAAAATTGACAAAAAAGTATAATTAGAGCAAAACAAAGTATAAAATTAGAAAGAATAGAAGTTATAGAAAATAGAGTAGAAATGTAAGATTTATAATAGATCTTAGAGAAGCTGTGAACTAAACAAGAAGACTGAGATTTAATCATAGAAACTAGCAAAATCTAGAAGAAATATAGATTAATTTAAAATCAAACACAAGAATAAATATAGCAAATCAAGAAAAATACAGACCTGAAAATAGAAAAAAAAAGAAATCTAAAAAAAAAAACAAGCAAACTACCTATCAAAAACAAGACAAAAATTATTGCAGAAGAAATAAAAAAAATACCAAAGCTTCAAGAAAAAGAATAAAAAAAATAAAAAACAAATCAAGATGAATATAGAAATTTTAAAAAAGAAGAAACAATAAATTAGAAGAAAAAAAAGAAAAAAAAAGTATTAAAAAGAAGAAGAAAGAAATATAAGATACCAGTATCTTAGATTCAATACTAACTTTTATTAAAAGAGAAGAAGTTCCGAAGAATAAAAAAAATAAAAGAGACAAATAGAAAAAAAGAAAAAAAATAGTATGCAACTAATATAGAAGATTAGTATGAGGAAATCAAGATGATATATATAAAAAAAAAACATATAAATTAAAGAAACAGAAAAACAAAAGAAACAATAAACAAACTACAGTACGGGACACCAAAAGCTATATATTTTTTATAGTAAAATTTTTAAATTAATATAACTTCTTAAAAAATAAACCAATGCAAAAAAATTGTTATACAATTAATAGATTTTGGTTAAACTATAAATTTTATAAAAAAGTTTTTATTTTTTATTTAGTTTTAAAGATATAATATTAAATTAAAGTTATATATAATTTAAAAATTTGGTGTCTAATATAAAAAAAATAAAAAACATATAAATTTTATTAGCTAATAAAATTAATTTTAGCTTAGTTATACAGAAGTTGACTAATCAAAAGTCTAGATTTATGTTATACAGCAGGCCAAAATTTGGTATCTATATATATCTTTAGGTATCCCGTACTGTAGAATCAAAAGATTACAAAAGACAAGCCAGATCATCAAAGAAAAAACAAATTCAAATAAATCAAACCCAAATCAAAATTTAAACCCAGAGTTTTGAAAATTAGAAAAGCCTGAAAAAGAAAAAAAAAAGTCTAAAGTTAAAAATAAACTATTAACAAAGATAAAAAAAGAAAAGATGATATAGAAAATTCAGATAAATAAAGAAAATTATATAAAAAATTAAACTTTAATATTTTATATAAAGATAGTAAATTAGAATATACACAATATAAGAAAGTTTCCAAAAATCAGTTAATTTAGAGATAAGTAAATTGGTTAGCTAAAATTAAGATAAAATCATTATCCAAAAAAGTTGTATAACCAATCATATCTCAAGATCAGATATAATGTAATATAATCAAAAAAATTCAAAACAAACATCCGTTTTGTTAAAAATTGTTTATAACCCAAAATTTAGTCTATGAAACTGCTTTTTGCATATTAATTACAAGTTTTTCTTATAAATTTTTGCTATAATGAGTATTTTTAAACATTGATCTAATAATAAAATCTTAACCCTAATCTAAAAAAACAAAATTTTACTTGAAACTTTTTTAAGTAGTAATTTTATTATAGTAGTTAGCTAGTATATCAGGCATAATTCTGGTCAGAATTATCAAGTTTCAGCCAAAATTAAAAATATTTTTAAGCTAAATTATAAACTTGTTAATAAATTAATTATAAAACTTTAATTATTAATAACTTTTGATCTACTAGACCAATCTGAATAATTTAACTACTAAAATAATCCTCTTAATAAAAGGATTTTATTAAATTCAAAATTATAAAAATCCAATTACTAGATGCTAAGATAGAAATAGTTTTGTATTACTATATAATAATATAATAAAATATATGTATAATAATACAAACCTATTTTTATCTTAGTATTTAGTAATTAAAGTTTTATGATTTTAGATTTGTTAGAATTCTCTTAATAAAAAGATTATTTTGGTAGTTAAATTATTCAAATTGGTTTAGTAGATCAAAAGTTATTCAATATTAAATATTATATATAGTTTTAATTATAAATATAAAATCTGATTAGCTATCAGATGGGGGTCTTTGCCTCTCAGTCTTTGCCTTGAAAATCACCTTCCGAAATTTCCGATCGGGTTAATTCGGACAAAAATAAACCCGAATACCGGTTCATGTTCATATGCTAATCATCTTTTAACTTTATCGATTCAATAGTTTATCGAATAACTATTGAATCAATAAAAGTAAAAGATGATTAACATATGAATATGAACCGGTACTCGGGTTTATTTTTGTCCGAATTAACCCGACCGGAAATTTCGGAAGGTGATTTTCAAGGCAAAGACCCCATATCGATATGGAGATTTCTATTTGTACCCGGTGGGTATATACCCGGATATAAGAAAAAAAAATCAAAAATTGTTTAATACTATATCTAAAAATTTTATTAAGAAAACTACAGATAGTACTCTTAAATAAAAATATTCAACATTTATTTTACATATAAATATTGTGCCAAATGTTGTGCCTCAATTACCACTCGCGTCAGATGTCGCTTTTGCTTAAGTTAGGGTTAGAGTTAGGGTTAAAATTAAGTCATAGTTTAGGCTGATCAACTAATTCTGTTCAAATTATCGTTATGCAGCTGAAACTTGACGCAAGTGTTAATTTGAGGCACAACATAAATACACCTTTAACCTAACCTGTTAATTTGTTAACTTTAAAGTTTGTATTTTTTTTTCTTATATCCTGGTATATACCCTATGAGTAAATTTAGTTATTATCTATTTATAATTACCTATGAAAAATCTAAGCAGTTTCTTGTTTCTTATGGAAACAAGAAAAATTTTAAAATGATGCTAGCTGTATAAATGAAAACAAACCAGACGAATTAATATGCTCTTTATTATTCCCACAAGAATTAAACAACATAAAAGCGAATGTTTAAAATTGTCCCTAGCATTAATTGAAGAAACCTTTATTTATCAAGTAGATCCCTTAATAATTCGCTTATGATTGGCAATTTATCGACCGCATCAGTAGCATCTGAACTGGATCCTTCACCAGCGGAACCATTTTGTACCACAGACTCACCAACTCTTCTTCGTAAAGATCCGCCAGAATTTTGATTATCTTGCTGCATATTTAATCGTTTTCGGTCAATTGCCTCAACCCTTCGTTGAAATTGATGAAAAAGCGTTTCGGCTCGTAATAGCGTTTCATCCACGGGTATTGTCATTGATAAATCATTTACGTACTAAAAAAAATGAAAATTTCATACTCGGATTTCAAAAATGGTAAATTTCAGTGGTTACTGAATAACATACCTTTAAAATTTCGTCGAATTGTTTCAAATATTCGATGATCACCATCCGATGCTTATCCAAAATAGCCAAAGCAACGAATAAATGAAATTTCGTGCATAGATAGTCTGACCATAGGACTTCCCATATATTTAGTACTTTCTCCCAGGCGAACTCACGCTTGAACCATATCAAAATCCACCGAAAACAGAAAAATAGATTTAATGATTCAGTGTTTTCTATGAGAAATAGCAAAATAAAAAAATAAAATAAAAAACAGGGATGATATTGAAATAGACAATAATAATAATAATATCTTAATGATACAGAAAGACTCACTAAGATGTCTATATAGTGGAGGATCCATGAATTTAATTAAATGTTCAAGAGTAAGAAGTTGACGTCTCATTCCACTTTGATCTCTGTAGAAATTATATTTCTGATACATAAAACAAATCAATTAGGCTTTGCGCAAGTTTCAACTAAAATTATAAATTGATTACAGCTTACCATGCGCTCCATAAAACCTACGAACGCCCAAAATGCGGAGACTTCCTCTTCCATGACGATAAATACAGGAGCTAATAAATCACTCATTCCTTGCACGTATCCTGCAAATATAATAATACGACGAATAATCAAAATCTTATCATGTTCGGTATCTCCTGATTGCATATTACTGTGTTTAAGTCAATTCGCTAAGAAAAAACAATAGACTAACCAAGGTCTTTATTATAAAAGTGATACGTCATTAAAATATCCTTCATTGCCTCAAGTTTTTTGTTTGTTGTTTTTGAGGATGCAGAAATTAACGGATCAGGATGTGGCATATCTTCTACAGCAAAAAACTCCATGGTACGATCAGTTCGGATTACATCCTTTTCTACAGATATTACCATGCAATCAGAACATAGAAAGAATTACAACTCTAAGATGAATAAACATCAAGAACCTATTCGCATTTTCTGTTCTTTAAAATCATCGCTATTTAGAACTTCAGGTGAATCCCACCATTCTCGTTTCAATCTCCAATATTCCTGCCTAAAGTTATTAAAAAATAAGTTTCAATAACGACTACATCGATGAACATGCAGAAAATATGTACGCACGCCTTCGCATCTAACAAATTCTCTCTTTCTACCCGACTGGAATCCCACTGGTACATTCCCAAAAAAAATTTCCATACTTCAATACGAATGTCATTTTCAACACCCTAATAAATAAACCATTAGCTTCTTTTAAATAAATAAATATATATATAAACAAGCTATTGCGCGTCTTGTAAAACATACTCCACGAAACACCGCTTCTCGTACTTCATTTAATTCGACTTTGAGCCTCCCCTCTGCATCGAAGAATGAAAACCATCTTTCTGCATTAAGAGGATCGGTTCTTATAGCATGCAACGGAGATGATGTTATCTCGTCCTATAAGAAATTATTAATATATTTCTGAAAATGTAAAGGCTTTGTAGAAATATTGCTTTGCCTGTTAACAAGAATTACATACATTTAAAACTTCAAAAGTTCCCACCTCCGTCTCTTCTTCCCATCTTTTTGGTTCGCTATCAGACCACCGTCTTCTCCGACGCTCAGATAAGCTATCATCACACTTTTCTGAACGTTCCGCTCTACTGGCATCGTCGAGACTTGTGGCCCATTTGGCTAGATAAACCCTACCGGCATCGTATTCATCAACTACTGAACGAGTTTGCTCTGTTTGTATAAGATTATTGATAGCTGGCGGAAGGTGTGGGAGAATAGGACGCGCGATTGGATGTTCTAAAATAGTTGCTATATTATGAAAATAACGTTTTTGTTATTGACATTACAAGCTTATAATAAAGAAATAAGTAACATTCAATGTTATTATACCCGCAGTATCACGAGAAAAACGGGCAACTTTAGATAAGCTTTCAAGAACATTCCAACGAATTTCTTTGACGGTCTGAAGTGGGAAAAAAATGTATATTTTAAGTGAAAACGTGAAAATGAAGAATATATAGAAATGCAAAATTCACCTCTTGAAGTGGATCCATTTGATTTACTTTAAAGATTTTTGAGTTATTTTATTTAAGTAGCAACTTTGATCGTTACACTAACGCTAGGACAAGCGCGTGATCAGAAGATCAATCAATAATCCCACATCACCCCTGTAATTTTGACCAATCGAATTTCAGGAACAGGTGTAACGTAAAAATCGAAACGAAACCACTTTTTACAGAATAACTCTAAATTTTAATTATGAAACCACCTTCTGCGGCCTAGTTAAAAATGTTCCCCGCTATATAGCTCTGATCCTAACCCTAACTATAACACGGTTTAATCTAAACTAATTAATTAGTGCTCTACAAAGTCAAATCAAATTTGGTCAAATATTTGGTCAAATCAAACTCAATTTGGTCAAATATAGCAGTATTTTACTTAGAAAACAAAACACGTTTGTTTTGACACCTGATCTTAAATTTTGATTGGTCAAAATTACCGGGGATGAACAATTTTTTGTGGGAACGCTACCTAAAATACAGGGGAGGACGAGGCAAGGCCAAAAAAGCCAGGGATAAAACCAGTGTCTGAATTGGGTTGCGGAGCTTGCGGACCACAAATTATTTATAAGTTCCCGCAACTAAAATCTGAAATGCAGTTTCGCAAATAATTTTGTGAATTTGCATATAGATATGTCCGAATTTGCATATAAATAAGTTCATATGCGCAACTAAATTCATATAACCCGGGATCCGCAACTAAATTAAAAGTTGAATTTCAGACACTGGATGAAACAACACTGCCTCAAAGAGATTTTTTTTTTTTATAACCCCCAAGATAGAAATTAGCTGGGATGTCAAGTAACGCGATTTATTATTAAGGGAATTTTTTTAAGAAAGGAGTGACAATAGCTAAAGCGATAAAGAAAAAAAGGAATGACGATAGTTAAGTTCATATTAAGAGCGAGATTGAGGAAAGTTAAAGGGAGGTGGATTCTAGTTGATAGGATAATAGGATAATTTTGGGATTTGTTGACTTCTATCACACCAGGGAGAACTCATTTTCTACTACAACGCCTATAACATCTTCCTCCAAACCTGTAATTCCTCTTAATGCTCTAATAATTTCAGGTCCTATAATTAAGGGAACGCCTATTTCCACCATGAAAATTTACTACTAACCACACTATATAGTAGGTTAATGGTGTCCAAAAAATTTTACCATTTCGTGTAACCCGAGCTTCCGAACTTAATTAATTATACCAAATTTTGGCTAGAATTTTACTAATAAACCCGCTAACCGATATACTAGGTAAAGTTGCTCGGATCGTAATTTTGCTATATAGTTAGCTTGTATTGGGTTTGTATTAGTGCTTCGCAGGTCGATCCGAGGCCCGAATCTGAATCGTCGGTCGAATTCTGGAAGCTCGGGTTACGCGAAATGGTAAGATTTTTGGATATCACCATTTGACGTAATTTTCATGAAAATATGATCGTCAACTCGTACAGGAAGGTCCCAGATTTCCGGGTTGAATTAACTAATTTTGCCCAAGATCACTAAAAAATTTTACTAATGAAGTTATAGCCCATTCATTAAGTAAAGCTGTCCAGCTGATAATTTTGGCCTAGCAATGGTTGACTCGTATTGCTAAATGCCAGCCTAAACCTGATGGATCCGACCAGGAAATTTGGGATCTATTATGTTCGTCATGTTGGGTATAGCTGAAAATCATGAAAAGCATGGTAAAAATAGATAATTGGTAACTAACCCACAAATTATTTACCTATTACATGAAAACTAACCCTAAAAAGGAAGTACAGGTTACCCTCGTTAATATCAACCTATTTGAATTGGTTTTAAATCATGTTGATAGTGATATTAACGAGAAATCATATTAAAGTTGATATATATGAGGGAATTTTGATATATAAAAGTTTATAAAAATTTGTTTTGTGGCTTTGGTTGAAATTAACGAGATTGATATTAACGGGGGTGACCTGTATTATTATCAAAAGGAAATGATATACTTACGTACCTTTTGGTTAGGGTTTATAGGCTAACTTTTTCGTGATTGATAGATCACATGAAATTAAATATTGCTTTATGATTGGTCATTTGTGCAACCATGTGACAATTAGCCAATAAAATTATACTTGTGAAATTAACTATACCACTATAATAAAAGAGCGAGAATAAAATATATTTCTTTAAGCATATATGTTTTCTTAAAAGCCTATTTCATTTATTACACCGAAGTAATATGAGATCTAAAATCTATAATTTACTGTATTATAATTAACGCTTATTGTGAAAAAATCCATTAAACCATATAAAGTTCGTTGTAATCTCTAAAATTTTCAAATATTTTTATTTCTTACAAATTTATTTTTACAGGTTAAAAGTTCTTTACACTATGTTCTAAAACATTATTACGTAGCTCAACAAACCGTTTTATTTATTCCTAAAAAAGAAGTTTACTTTATTAGTTTTCTTTTTATTAAGTCAGATATATTTGACTATTTAGTAATTATACAGTATAGTTCTATAGTTATAATATATGTAAAATCTTTACCATTTAAGCAAAATACCTCTAAGTTCTGAATCTTTTTAGATTCTTTCGCATAGTAACTGTTGGAGTTTTACTGAAAATAGAGACGGTCTTAATTTGCATTTTTTGCTTGTGAAATATTATATTCTTAAAAAGTACTCTAAACTGTATAAATACAATTGTAAATGATTGACCAATAAGAAGAAAGTTAGCCCATAAAGTTAAGGCAGGGTGTGAATTTATAAAAATTGCCTTATAGGATTTTTATATTTTTGTATAGCATGGCTATTTGTCACAAAATATTTTGTGGGTGAGCTAGAAAAATTGACCATCATGTGACTTTCTGAGGTCAATTGTATTCGAACAAAAAAAACTTATTTATGTTAGAGTTCGGGCATATGCTAAGGTTAATACAAGTTATTCTTTTTATAGTGAAGTCCTCGGGCTATAAAAATTTCTTCACTTTCACTATATCAAGGCCTCTCAACATACTCTAAAATTTCAATCTTTTTACTATAATAACGTACAATCTTATTGGTTAGTTTTAGGATATGTTTAGATGTATCAAAAAGTAAATGCAGAAGTATCAAAAATGAATGCTTTGCTCCTCTGTCCTGGCGCTGTTGTGAGCTGGGGGTTTGGTTTCCCTTAATTAATTACTTAATATAATGGGGTCGGATGCATTTAGTATAAACTTAAAAATGATCTATATGCTGCATAAATTATATGCTTGATATTTATGTTGTAAGTGGGAATAGAATTTAAGTGGATTTGGAATTTCCTAGTTAAATTAGGGTTAGGGTTAGGGTGTACATATGATAAACTCAACCCCCAAAACGAGGTTTTTTATATTTATCCCCTGACCAACCCCATCTATGTAACTTTTTTCATGTACTTATTTCTACTAGATATATATCTATTTAATTTAGGTAGTTAAGTATTATCTTATTTAATATTAAATGTCAAAAACAGTGCGTAAAATAAAAGTTTCGCTTTAAAATAAGTATATGAAAGTTATGTTACATAGATGGCAGGGATAAATCAGTTATATCCTGTGTATATAGTTGGATATAAGCAAAATTTTGTAGTAAAGTTTAATCGGCCGCTTATGCGGTCGATTATACTCACTGCAAAATTCCAACTGCCCAGGATATAACTATTACAAATTCTGAATCCACTTACAACATTTATATAAACCTCTAACTATTACTGCATCAAAAAAAGTAACCTTAATTGCGTCAATAAAGTAATTCTAACGCACCTTGCTTTAGCTATCCCCTTAATAAAAAATAAAGAAATAAACAATAAATAAATAAACAATATTTACCTGTTAATCCATCTCTGCTACGATTTTTAGTTAAAATTTACTATGCGGATACCGCACAATTTGGAAACTTTTTTGTGCGGCAAATAAAGAAAAACTATAAGCAACTATTACAGGAGTACGCACTACTTACAAAATGTTAATTTTTCTGTGCGGCATCCGCACATCTGTTCAAAAAAATGTGCGTAAAATTGTTTCTGTGCTGCTAACAACTAAATATTGCATGGTTAGAATATTTTATGGTGATGCGCTCATATCCTATACACTCATTAATTCCCTATGTATCTCACGATCGCAGGAACACCATGCTTTTTTGTTAGCAATTATATTCTCTTTGTCATTATCCTAGATACATATAATAAGAGTATTATTAATGCATATTATGTTTTTATTTACTAAATGACAAAAAAAAAAAAAAACCGGAAAACGCGAAAAACAAATATATTTATATAAATCGCAAAGTTTGACAAAAAATCATGCTGAGTAACTGAGAAAAAGAACGTTCTATGTCGAAACATAGATCACAAAGAGCTTTTATTTTCTTAGACATTTTAAACCGATAGGGCAGCGTACCTTGGATATACTTAGTGAAAAAAACTCACCAATGCTCTCTAGAATCTTGGAAATGTCTACCTCACCTCTCGACCCTCTTATATAGGTGAAATCTTCAATAAGAACGGCAACAACAGCGGATTTAGAAGAAAGTATTTTGTAATTTCGAAGGCAAAGTATATATATTTTTTTTATTTTTTTTTCACATCTATCACTCCTTTTTCTGATATTGACCAATCAACATTAGTCACGAGAACAAGATCAGGTGTAATGTGAAGATTATCAAAACAATAACCTGTTTTAAGAAATCACCTTACGCGTATTAACCAAAAAAACATTTCAAAAATTTCAGATAAAGGGACACACAGTAAAATTTTTTAAAAATATTAAATTTTTTTTATTAAAAATTTAAAAAATAGTATATATATTATCGGTGTTGTCACTTTGAATATGTCCAGTTGACAACACTGAATTATATAACTATATATATAATATGTATCTTTAAATTTTAAATAAAAAATTTGAGTAATTATAAAACGCACCTATGGTGGTTTTCACCTATCATATGTTTTTATTATGTTTTTTAAAATTTTCTAAGTTTTTATAAGTTTTGTA